TTTATTTTTGTTCTGCTGAAGAAACCAACATACTCTGAACCAGTTTGAAACTTGAAGTCAGTGAGGAGAGGACCATCCCATTTCTTTGTACCATTCTGTGTGGATTGGCTACCTGGTGAGCAACAGCCCCTTCCCGCTTCAGCGTGTCAGATAGTTCCAACCCCTTCTGCCTGTCTCCCCTTCTCCTGGAGCTGGATTCTTTGGTCTCTTGTTGTTGCTTCCTAGCAATGTTGGCCTTGCTTTCAACTATGTTTTTTTCATGTGTTTTATTGGTTTGAAAAAAAAAAAAAAGTACTTCCAGAGTGTGCTGACCATTGTATTGTACTGTACAGAGCCCAGGTTGTTAGAGTCCAGCAGAGATAGTGTGTTATGCAGCACCCAGTTTTAAGAGTATGGTTTGTGCCAATGCCCCTTCTTTAGTAGTGCCAGAGACTCTTTACAAGTGCCAATGTGGTGGAAATTATTTGGTTATACTTGTATATTATAGGATCCTGATTTAAGACAATTTAAACATTATCCTATTTAAAAAGATACTATATAAAATGCTGTTTTTAAACCTTGTCATTTGCAATGCATGTATTGTTGTGCGTGTTGGGGTGGGGGGAGGGAAGAGGGTAGGGGAAAGGAGTTTCTGAATAAGATGCCCAGTGTCAGGGTCTATTCAGGCTCCCAACTGTCTCATTCCAGTCCAGGAGTGTGATTGTTTCTTGGAATGATCCAACTCTGACTGCTGGGCACCAACCCTTATTACAGAAATATCTGATGGAAATTGATTTTCATATCTTTCTCCTGAAATAAATTCTCTGTTTGAAATTGGAATAAATTTTGTTCCTAAAAACCGTAGTGGTGATGCATGCATTTCTTTGCTCTTGCTTCTTCTCTCCCTTTCTTTCTGGTTGGCTGAACAACTTTTGTACCTTATGAGACCTGCATCTGAGTGAAGGCCATTCTGCCTGCCTAGCTAGTAATGTTGTCCCTGCTCAGGAAATCAGGAGTCTGAGGCATAGAAACAAAATGTGTCTTGGTAAATATAATGTGTAATATACATTAACTATATGAAATGTAGTGTGCAAACAATAGTTCTTAACTCTGATTGGAAGAGTGGCTGACTAGGGTTTTAAGATGGAGGGATGGAATGGTGACACCTTAACTTAAAACTCACAGGAGATTTTGGAGTGGAATTGTTATGTGAAGCTGTCAGTTTTCACTGCTACCGTTTGTTGTAATGTCCGCCCATTCCCAGGACAGTTCTTGTGAAATGTACGTTGTCCATAGAAGAAACTTTGAGACCCCAATTCCAATCCTGCTTCCAGTCTGGTTTACTGGAAACGTGGGCTAAAACATGAAGCAATACTTAAATTTCTCCTTTAAGAGTCTAGAGATGATTGATTGTGACAGCTTTCATGAAGGGAATTCCTGGGATGGAGTTCCTGGAGTTTAATGCTTCTCCCCCAGGAATATTTCAGATTAAATCAGTTGGGAATGGGTGGAGGTGTATGACTTTCCTTCTATGTAGTTTAATGCACAGGTGGAGCTTGCAGATACTGGACAAACTGAGATGCTGTGCTTCATCTTGAACTGAGAAGATCACTCCTGTCTGGTTGGTCGTTATACTGGCAGATATTTGTGTCATAGATGCTTTCTAATTAAGGGTGAATGTGTGATGCTTTCCTCAGTATCTCTGTGTTCTCATCCACTGGAAAGCATGAAATAGTAGCTGAGTGAAAAGCTTTTTTATCTGCTCCATGTGGGTCATGTGCTATGCCATTCTTTGCAAAGAGACTATAATATGCTCCATATAAATAAAACATGGCAGCAGATTAATGTCTTGCTCCTTAAAGAGTCTAAAAGTCTGAAAACTAATGGCCAGCCTTCCCAACTGACTGCAAGAGGGCCCTGTGTTTTAGCCCTTTCCAGCCTTATGGTAGGTGTGCAGACTGTCTGGACTTGCTGCATATATGCAGTATGGCTGCTGTCCTTGAAGTTAGTGGCTTGTCTTCAGTTTACTTAGTCACTTCCATGCTGGCTGTAAGATGTCACTACTAACACCAGAACAGCTCCTTGGGTTTGTGTACCTAACTGCATTTCCATCCTTTTTCTGCACACTTTTATATAAAAAAGAAAAAAAAAAGACGCTTAAGAAGAGAGAATGCAGGGTTTGCCTTGTCCTTGGACAGTCATCATTGCCATAGTAGGAGAAAGCTCTTTGAGTCTGAGTGATTTGAATAAGTATCATAATAACTTGAGAAAAGCTTTTTTTATTTATATATTTAATATCCTTATGCCTCTGAGCGAACAAAGCATTAAGAAGTAATGGGAAAATCTCAGGATGGAAATGAAGGTTTCTATAGAACACTATGGACAAAATCTATCTTTCTTCTCTAGTTTGTTAAACTAGCTGAAAAGAAAGTGTACGTGTGGTCTCCTGAAAAGAAACTGTACGTGTGGTCTCCTGTGCATGATATCTCAGTTGCTTCCCAGGGAAGATTAGCACCATTCAGCATAGCTGTATTTGAGCTATTTGTCTTATGTGATGCAGTCCGATCCAGAATTCAAGCCTGTTTCAACTTGGGTGGCAATCTTGTGGCTTTTTAATATTTTTTTTGTGGCTCCAGTATTGGAGATTATATGACAAGACTGGCATTTGGGCTGTGTGAAAGCTTCTGGGTAACCTAGCTCACCAGGTGGAAAAAGATGTGGCTTGGTGGGACTGCTGATGCTGATATTGCCCAAGGGTGCTTTGCGTGCCCAGCCAGGTGGTGGTATCTCTTGTCACTGGCCACTGCTGCCCATGCACTGTTCCTGGAATTGCACCTCCCTTCACTTAAGGTGTGTATCTGTAGCTCTTGGCCATGAAAAAAGTATTGGTATGAAGCATCTAAAAGGCTGGTCCCTCCTGCTATGCTGGTTCACATACTGCCTCCCAGTAGTTCAGAGCTTTGATTTCTACTATTGCAAACAGAGCTGCCAGCTTCAATGAGGCTCTCTGCAAAGTAGAGGAGATGTAGGATGAGTATGTTAGTGGGAACACGCTGTTCCGGAAAGCATTTGAAAGTCTGGTTAGACAAGAAGACTCGGCTCAACTTCTGCTTTGCAGTGTTTGATTTGGAACAAATTGTAGGCTGTAAAGAAACCTAATGGAAACAGGTGCCTGGTTCAGCTTAGCCACTTAGTTTACTTCCAAATTGAAACCTTATGCTTCTTTGAAAAGGAATTTTAGAGGTAAGTTCTTGGATCAATTCAGGAGTTTGAGAGATACCCTTGGGGAACGTGTGCTGTTGCTAACCCAAAGAGGGCAGTGTGTGCACATAAAATCTGTACAAGGGGAACACATTTATACTACAATAACAACATTATCCACATCAAAAATCACTGATAACGTTGTTCAATTACAGCTTCTCAGTCATGTGAATGCCCTGGGGAGGCTATCAGAAATTTTTAATTACTAAGTTTGGGAAGTACTTGGTATCTTGAATTCTTTGGTCCAGTGTTTTTGTACTTTAAACATGTATCTTTTTTCTTCTTTTTTTCCTTCCCTCCTTTCTATGCAGTTAGAAGATTGCAACTCAAGTTTGAAACCTCTGTGTGCTACAAGACTAGCTAGGTCCCTCTAACAATAGAGAGGTTTTATCCCCTCTTTGTCCAAAGGTTGCTTTAGTTTCTTCAGCTGACGCTACTTTTTCTGTCACTAGCCCACCCTCATTGCTTGGGTGAGAATCACACTCCTCACCTCAGCTGGGCAGATTTCTGTTATATTTATCTTGTCTGTGGAGTTTTATTCTTTTTTGTCTCGGTAGCTGGAGCTATCCTCCCCGCACTGTAAGCCCTGGAGCGTACAGCTACAATTAAGGCCAAAGTAAGGAGGGCACCAAGGACAGTAAGTGAAGTTTGTTCTACAGATGCAGGCTCAGATTTTCTCCCGAGTGTCTTAGTCTGGCAGTGTCATGACACAAAGACTCTCAGCAGGGACCTCACAGCTCTGAGGTCTTGAACTTTATGCCTTCCTTGCAGCAAAGGGAGGAGAGAAACCAATCCTGTTTACAGCACAGGAAATCAGTATAGGCAGAAGATTATTATAAAACTCCTCCTCCCCCTCCCTGCCCTGCATTGGGTTCAGATATACTGTGAAATTCTGCCTATGCCTCACTTTGAGTCTCAGTCAAAACCAGTATGCTTGAAAGTCCTCAGGGGGAAAAAGCAGGTGAATGGAGTTACCGTTTTCATACTTATTCTAAGGCAAATCTCAGAGCTGTAGGTCTTGGAACACGCTTTGGTGTAAAACATAATATTCTCAGCATTTCACTGTCCAGCACATTCTTCCCTTGCTCTCCTGTACCGGCAGCGGTTCCCCTGTCGTGACGGAGGGCTGAATTGGGTTGTACAGGCTGATTCCTTCTTAGCTGTTGCTTCAGTGTGGCTGCATTGCGCATGTGTGCGGAGTGTCTGGGAAAGGGTCCTTTGGGAAAAGCTTTCCTCTGGCTGCTTCTCCTGCAATTTTGTAGAGAATTGAAGAGTTGTACCATCACCTCTTACTGACAAGTCTATGCTTTTGTGATCTGAGGCTTTCCCTTAAAAAGTGTGTATGGGGGGGTTGTTTCTTCTTTTCAAAGTTTGGGAGAGGACGAAGTTCTCTGGATCCTCTTATCGTGGTGAATCTCCATCCTGCCTGTGTTTCACTTCCATCATACGAACGCAGAAGCTGACTGAGCAGCGTTGATTAAGTCTGGACTGCAAGCACTGTGTGCGCTGCTGGTGGACCCACGGGTGCTACTCCAGCGCTCTTTCAGATCAGCTGGTCTGCTGATGTGCAGATGTCCTGGCCAGTTACCATGAGCTCTAATTGGGTCAGACTAACATAGATCTGGGTATGCCAATGGTTAGGAGGTTAACCCTGAGCACCTGTAATGAGGGAGAGAGTGACTGCAGGGCTGGATCTGTTGCTCCATCTGCCTTGGACTCCCTGAGTGAGTGACAGCCGAGGAGCTTCACCCCTGTCCGCTATGGCGAAGCGGAAAGAGTTAAGTGCTGGTGCTGTGCAAAATGCAGCGTGGTCTCTGAACGGCCCAGTTTTCACAGGTGAGGAGCCCCCTTCATGTGAGCAGAACTTGAAGTGCATGGGGGAAGTGAAAGTGCTGGCTTGTGACAATGCAGAAGAGCCTCCTGGAGCGGGTGACTCTGTTTTTAGAGCTTGAATTTGTAGATGTCTGAGATTCCATTTCCCTCCCCTCCTTGGGGCAGAGGTTGTGGTATGAGAGGTGTCAGATAAGGAAGCGAGAAGCTGTTTTGTTTTTTCTTGTCATTCTCTGTGACCTGGGGTTGGAGGGGTTCGTTGTGAAGCTCTGTTGCCTGTGGACCCCTTGTCTAGGCCGGGGAGAAGGCGTGTTTCTCAGGATGGAGGTTTTCTCCTGCGTGGCTCATGGATGAGAGCTTGCGCAGGATGTGAGGAGCGCAGCTTAGCAGTCTTAGCTAGCTTTGTAACTTGGATGTGATTGACAAAGATATCCCAAGGGGCAGGATTCTGGCTGGGGACATGGGAATGTGTTTCTGGAGGAACTGCTGTTAAGCCAACTTGAAAACACAGTGAGACCTAGCAGATTTTTCTCAATGAAATCCTAAGCAACTAAAGATGTTGAACTCATCCTCTTTTTAGGTTGCTTGCCAGATCTCCAGATTAATTTCCATCAGATGTGATATTTTCAAGCTTTATTCTAGGAGGTCTCCCCCCCCCCCCCCACCTTAAACCACAGTCTTTGGAAGAAAAAGTTCCCTGAATGTCAGGCCTTGGGGGAGATGTGTGGTTTTTCTCTCTGCTGTCAAAGTCGCTAAAAAGACCTGAATGACTCGGGGTGTCCTCGTGGACGCTTGCATGCTTGTGACGGAGGGCTCATCTGGATTCCCCTGAGCAAACTTCTGACTAGCACCTGCCTGAGCCCTGCCAGCAGCAGACAGAAGGGCAGAGGACTGGAGGGGTGGAGCAGGGAGGGAAGAAGCCTGCTGTACCCCTGCCCGGCTCCAAAGAGCTCTGCTGCTACAAGTGCCTTTCCCCCCAGAAACCCTGCTGCTGCCATGGCTCAGTGCTTCAGCTGCTGCCGCCTGTGCCCGTGTTTCCTCTCAGAGGAGGATAAAGCTGCCATCCGGATCAACAGAAAAATCAACAAAATACTGAGGGAGGAAAAGAGACAAAACCAGCAAGAGCTGAAATTGCTGCTTCTTGGTGAGTCACCCTGGGGGGAAGGTGCTGTTTGTCTGTTGGGTGACAGCTCAGCAGAGGAGGGGTGGAGAGAGGAAGAAGCGGGGCCGTGGGGTAGGAGGTGTGATGGGGGGAGTGAGCCCCCAAAGTGCCAACTTGAAGGGTTTTGTCTTTGCTTTTCTTGGTCATCTTGTCACTAGGAACTTCCCCTCTGAATGTGTCTCTCTGAAGCTGCCAACTCTCTAGATGTGGCACATTGCGATCCCACCCTGCCGTTCCTCTGTGTCCCACAGGAGAGAACTACTTGTCCGTCTCTCCTTGTCCCACAGGAGACCTCTCTGCCTTCACTGCTGCTATTCTTCTGTGCCACAGAGGACTGTTCTCCTTCTCTTGTATTGCCTGCCTTAAATAACTATACTCAGAGTAGCTGTGCCCAGAGCAACTGTGCTTGACACTTGCTTTCAGATTTCAAGACAGGGCTGGCATCATAAACACTACCATGCACAACTTCCTGCTCCTAGTTCCCCCCTTACTGTAACCCAAGTGTCACCCGGAGAGCGCATTTGGTGTCAGGGCTGGAACAGGGCTCTGTTTTCCATGATGTGTCTAGGAAGGTGGCTGCTCTCTTCACTCTCACTCTAATCCTTCCCCTTTCCCCTGTTCTTAGCAAAATGCCTCATTAATTCTGGGTGTGGATGCTTGCAGAGTAGTGACTCTCAGTAAGCCCTATGAAAATGCCATCGAGAGCCTGTGGAGGGATGCTGGCATCAGGACGTGTTACGAGAGACGATGGGAATATCACTTGCTGGATTTGGCTTACTTGTGAGTTACAGAGTGGGACTGGGGAGCATGCGTGCCTGACTACATGTGAGGAGTGCTGCTGGCTGGCCAGTGCCAGGAATGGTTCTGACGTGCCTGGGTGCTCTGGGATGTTCTTCTCCCAGCTTCATCTTTGTGCAACCTTGAGCAAGTCAATTCCACTCTTGCATTTTGCTCCGTTTATCTTCAGCATCTTCAGAGTGAGGACTGATTCTTCTGCACTCACATACAGCACCTAGCGTAGGAGGATCTTTGTCATGGGACCTTTGGCCACTACTGTGATATCACAGATATTTCACTGCTGCATTTTTGTGGGTTGCCAATGATCAAACACCTACGTCTTTCACTCTTGTTTCCAGTATAATCAGGCACAGAAATCTCTTGAAACTTTGGGTATGATTTCTTTTCTGAGACGCCAAAATCAGTGTCTCTTCTGTGGGGTTTTTGTTTCAGTAGGGTTGGGTGTTATCACAAGTTACAGATCCTTCTGAGAAGAGAAGGATGATGATACAGTTAAAGCATGGGGACTGGAGCAGGACTTGCAGTTCTGTTTCCTTTATTGCTACAGATTCACTTTATCCTTTTATGGACTGGCAGAGATCTGAGATGAAACTGCGTATTGCAGTAGTACCTTACAGCCTAGTCAAAGACCAAGACCTTGCTGCGCTAGATGCTGTACAAATGCTGTGTTAATTGACAGCTTGGTTACGGTGAGGACCAGTGTTCTGGCTGTCTGCGCTGTCTGTGGCTTGAACCAGGAACAGGGCCTTTGCTCTTGAGCCAGTGGGTGTAGTCTGGCTTGTGGCCGAGGTTTTGGGGATATTGCCTTTTGGAATAGCATGGTTGCACCCACATGGCACAGCAATAGGTCTAGATCTCTTTCTCCACCATGTGGTACCCGTGGTCAGAAAATATAGTGGATTTTGGCTTTGATTTCTTTTTTTTCCCCCCTCCCTTTGAACTTCTTAAGAAATACAGAGATGGTGATGCCATAGCCCTGTTGGATGCAGTATTTAAACTGTGACATCAAGGGGCATGAGTGTGTCTGCCTTTGGAGGTGGTGTAAAGATGCAGATGAAGGGGGCAATTAAAGGCATGAAACCTGCTGGACAGCTCTCCAATGCTACCCAGAGATAGAGAAAGTCAGGTTTGGTGCTACCTGCCTCCAGACTGTCTATGCTGGGAATGCACTTGCCTCCCTGCCAGGCCAGGCTTTCCCCTTAGAGGGACCTACTTGCTGTACTCCAGAGGGGAACCTGGAAGTGAGCTGGCATGTGCACAGCAGAGGGTGAGAGGAACATGGCCTGAGAATCAGCCAAAGACACTGCAGACATGTAGCACAGCCCTGGACTGCTTCCTTGTTCCATGACTCCCTGCAGTTTTCTGTCCGATCTAGAGCGGATGGCTGAGGACTCTTTCATTCCGCAGCTCAGGATGTGCTGCGGAGCCGAAAGTCTACAACTGGCATCAATGAATACTGCTTCTCAGTGCAGAATGTGACCTTAAGGCGAAGCTACTGTAAAGCAGTCAGCAGTATGAGGATGGCAAGTGCATGGGATTCCCCTTCTCCCAAGCAACCCTCCAGAAAACCCCCCCCCCCCCCGCCTCTTTATTGCACCTCCTGCCCTTATTTCCCCTCTCTGGTGGGAAATAAGGCGGTGCTACCATAGGAACCTCTGCTTTTGCTTGGGCTGGGCAGGGGCTGTGGTTACTGGGAAGCAGAGTCCAGCCCTTGTGCATCTCTGTGCCTTCTCTTCTTTGGGAAGTTGTTAGCAGCCTGAATGCCAGGCATTTGAATCCCAGCTGGCTCTGTGCTCTGCCTGGCTGCTGCCCTCTACCCAGGAGGTCACTGCTTGCTGCTGGGGATCTGTCTTATGCTTTTAGTCTGCTTTCAAGACCTTTTTCAGGGAAAGGGCAGATCTATGATTGCTGCAAGCTGGCAGTGGGGACCCAGATCCCCAGCTGGGGTTACATGGCTCAGCAGGTCCCTCTCAGCAGAGCCACTGTAACTGGCCACCTGCCAGCACTCAGCCTGCAGGAAGTTTGAGGTAAGACAAGTTCACTTCCACTCCTTGGTGAGGTTTCTGCTCCCTTACTTTTGCAGAATGAGAGCGCGTGTGGGATGTGTCACAGCTTGCCTGGTGCCCAGTACCCTGATGAGGTGTGCCAAGGCAGTCCCGGGGGCTCCAAGGCCCTGATCCCTGTCAAAAGCTGTGGTCCTACGTGCTGCCTGCCTGAAGGGGACGAGTGCCTGTCCTCAGCCTCCAAGTGACCTGTTGCCCTGGCAGGATTGTGGATGTGAGGGGACAGAAATTGGAGCGGAAGAAATGGATCCACTGTTTTGAGAATGTGATTGCTCTCATCTATCTGGCTTCCCTCAGCAAACATGACCAGTGCCTGGAAGAGAACAGCAAGGAGGTGAGGAGCTGGTAGGGTGTGCTGGGAGGAGCTGGCACGGAAACTTGTACCTCTGATCTCCGCTGCATGCGTGCGGTGGTGCTCCAGGAAGGTGCTGGTGAGGAGTGTGGGGCCCGTCCCTGCTGCCACCACTCTGGAGCGGGTCTGCGTAGTTTGCCAGAGTGCTCTGGGAGTGTGGTGGGACGAGCATCTGCCCGAGGGGAACAGCGGTCTCTGCTTGTGTCCCTCCTGCTGCAGAATCTGATGAAGGAGAGCCTGGCTCTGTTCAGACCTATCCTGAGCTGCTCTGGTTCCAGCACACATTGGTGATCCTCTTCCTGAACAAAACAGACCTCCTGGAGGACAAGATCACTGCCTCAGACCTGGACAAGTACTTTCCCTCCTTCCATGGTAATGCCCTCCTCTGGGTGCTGTGAGGCTTGCAGACTGGCTCCCGCAGGCTCTGCAAGTCCTGCGTGCCAGGAGAGCAGGCCTGCCACTGGCTGCCCTCAGCCTCGGGCAGGGGGGGCTGCCTGCCAGCTCCCCTCACTTCAATCCTGTGGGATGGGGGTTCCTTCTTGTACCTCAGGGCCCAAGCAAGATGCAGAAGCAGCCAAGCAGTTTATCCTGGACGTGTATGTGGACACCTACAGGAAATGCTCAGCTCTCAACAGCAGCACCAGGTCGGGACTCCTTCAAACCATCCCTATGTCCAGGTGCCTTTACTGCCACTACACATGCACTACTGACACACACAACATCCACAAGGTCTTCAGAGATGTGATATTGGTTGCCTACTGGGAAGATGTCGATCTTCTGTGAGAGGCATAGCCTGACCCGTCAAACTTCAAGCTGGCCTTCAGGATGGTCAGCTGGCAGCGGGTGACCAGTGTAACGCTCTGAGTCACGTTTGCTGCGTGCGGATGGGAGCTGCGGGGGCCTTCTGTGGGTGGTGCATGAGGGGAAGCTGTCCCCGTGGCCATCAGCAGAGTGTTTTCTAGATGGTGCCTGCCAGGGATTCCCTGCTGGAGCTGCCTCTGCTCGCGTCCCTTCTCTGCAAGCAGTCTAACCCTGCCTGCTTTTCTGCCAGCTAGGCAAGCAATCCAGACCTCTGCAATAAAGGAGGTTTGGTGCCAAAATAGCTCATGCGCCTTCCTCAGGCAGTGATTTCTTCCTCCCCTTTTTGCTGAGCCATGTGAATTTGGTCCTTGAGACCTGGATGTGGGTAGCATAGAGCTGTTGAGATCTCTCTCCCACACCTCTGAGACCACTGTTGGGAGGAGAGGGGAGCCAGTCCTCCCTGGCAGAAAGGAGCCAGCACTGCAGGAGAAGCAGCTGCGTTTTTGCAGAGCACGTTCAGGATTTCAGTCTCTCCAGCCTCCCTCCAGGCACATGTGTGACTGAAGCAGCCAAATCTGTGCACCATCCCTGCGAGCTACTGCTTCTCTGTATCTGACAATCTCAGAATTAGCTGGAGGCTTGGCACAGCCCAGTGACAAAGCACTTGGGCACCAAAGCGGGTGAGGGCATGGCTGCATGGCTGTGTCCCAGCTTTGCTGAATAATGAGAAGAAAGGCTAATCCCACCCCTGTGCAACGCGGATGGGGATGCAGAAACATGTCACAGCTACTCGGTCACCCTGGGGCTCCCCTGTGCTTAGTGTCCCCTCCACTGTGCAGTTCTCTCCTGCCTACTTGCGCTGTAGTGTGTGGGAAGAAGATGGTCTCCTGCCAGGAGATAACCGCTTATGATCTTTTTCAGTTTTGCCTGAGCCCTCTGCACTGGGGAGGGGAGCAAGGAAGCTGTCCCTGCCCTGAAAACCCGGCTCCTTGCCTGGTTTAGGTAGGACAGAAAATGGAGGGTACTGGTTTGGGCTGCAACTTCTGACTTGGGATTCAGCAGTTTGAGCAGTGACTTTCTTCTGAGTTGTTCAAGGCTGGGGCCAGAGACTGAGAGAAATCAGATGCATAGAAGGAAAAAGACTCTCAAACACAGATGCAGTTTATTGTTTTCATGTATTCTCACAACACTGGAGCTAAAGCGAGAGGGGAGAAATGAGGAAGCAAGTCTCATAGGGGAGAGCAGCAGTAGTGAAACAGAAGCTGGAAGTGTTCCCCTCAGAGCTGGGGGCAGCCCTCTAACCCCAGTGCTTGAGCAAAGGAGACCCAGGCATCTGGGGCTCACCTAATCCAATCTAACCATAGCACCTTCCCCCAGGGTAGCAGGCGTCCCAACGGCTCGGCTGCCCTGCTGCTTCTTTTCCAGAGCTGTGCCGCAAGCAGCTTGACAAGGGGGGATGTTGGAGCAGCCACACGTGGGAGCACACGCTGGGGAAACGGGCACCCCGCGATCAAGGCGCAAACCCTGCACCAAGCCCACCTCTATCACACCTTGGCTTTGCCGGAGTGAAGTCCTTGCTGTGTCCGTGAGGATCAGTGAAAGATGTTTCCCAGGGAGAAGGGGCAGGGGGGGGAAGCAGGTGAGGGTGGGCCCAGAAACATGAATTTTCCAGGACAGCAGCCATGGAGAGAGTAGATTCATGCTGACTTCATGACACTGTTGATCCATGGGAGGTAGGCAGCGATGTTTGTGTAGAAACCAGGCCAATTGCCATACCGATAGGAGAAGATACCGTAGGCTTTGTTGTTGCAGACAAGTGGGCCCCCGATATCACCCTGCAAAACAGACAGATGGTGGGGGAGAGAGCAGCGATGATTATGGGGTGACCCCAGGAGGGGGGTGCATGTACTGGGAACAGGGAGGCTGCAAATGCCAGAACAGAGCTTCTGCAGGCAGAGCTTGGACTTACCGTGGACGTGGGTAGCTCTGGCTCCAAAAGGAACCATAGGTAGTCCTGTCTGGGGCCAGTATGGGACCCAGCGCAGCTACAGCTGGGGGAACGCTGAAGCTTAAAGCTCATATCTACCCTTCTACTTGCTGCGCAGCACTACGAAATGCGCTTAGCCCTGCTGTGAGGTGGAGGACAAACCCCTCAGCAGCCAAACCATATCCCCTTGGGCTGTGGCAGGCTCCTAGGCACTCTGCTGTGGGAAGAAAGAAGGCTGCCCTTGTCTCTCCTGTGGGCACAGAGCTTGGCATGAGCGTAATGCCTGCTGTCTGCAGGCATACTTCTGGCCCTGCAAGGGGCTGATCCTTGGAGATGGAGGCCCAGGGCACCACTTCATCTCCTAGGCCAGGACAACAAGAGAGAGGGATGCTAGCAAGGAAGCATAGGCTGATGGTGGCACGGTAAGGGGACAATAACAAGCAATTTTGGACAGCACGCTTTCAGTGAAGTTTCTTAGCCCAGATCCAATTCATGCCCAGGACCTGTCTGCAACCTTCCCCTACAGCCATCTACTCCCTGTGTCAAATACTGACCTTTTCAAGCACTCCAGTGGATCTGCTGCGGGCACAGATCAAGTTGTTAGCAAGTCCGGGGTTTAAGTTCAGGCAGTCCCTTGGTTTGAGGATGGTGACGTTGGCTTCATGGAGCATCGCAGCAGGCGTCTCGTGGCCCCAGCCAGCTATGCTGCATACAGGCCCTCCAAGGGCTTTTTGTTTTTGGAAGGAAATGGTCTTAACATAGTTATTGCTGATGGCAGTGCCTTTCAGCTGGACAAGGGGACAGAAAATAGAGAAAAAAAGTATTTGATCTTTAAATGTTCTGTGATGAAGGCTGTCCCCTCCCGCTCCAGTGTTAAAGCTCAGCCCTGCGTGTCGAGGAGTTCAGACAGATGGGACCATGCAGGTGCTCCAGGGACAGCAGGAGGATGTCCTTCCCCTTCTGAGGATTTGTGAAGTCTGGGTGGCGGTGATACTTTTGGACTTCAAATGTTTGCCAGCTCTCCTCTTTCTTCTGGATGTTGTGGGCTCCCAGGATGACCGACAGAGGTTTGTGGCTGGTAAAAATTAAACTCAGTGTCTGTCGTTTGGCTTTTCCTGTCTGCCCAGGTAACAATGAGGCACATCTCTTCGGGGTACAGCCTCGCGATACAGTCTGGGCTTTAAGCAAGAGTGGTGGGAGCAAAGAGCTCTGCCAGGGAATCTACCCAGCCAAGAGGCAGACTGAAATACCGATGACAGACAGAGCTCTGCATGCGTTACTCTGCTTCCAGCACTTGAGCCTGCAGTTAGGAGCTAGCTGAGCTGATTTGGTCCAATGTTACTGCTGTGTAAGGACATGTATTAATGTATGTAGACTATTGCTCTGGGCTTCACAGGCCTGGGGAAATCCATGGCACCAGGCAGCGATTTCTAAAACAGGATCCTGCTCCGGGCCAGCATACTGTTATCTTTACTAGCCTTTGCATTGTCTGCAGAAGGGACTGCCTTGGCAAAGCTGGAAGGGTGCTGGGTGCAGAGGGCAGTCCCTCTCCGTTGGGCAGGTGGGACTTTGGGCACCTGGCCCTGGATCCTGCTCTTCATCTTCTGCTAACTCTCCTTTTTGTCACCCGGACAGGGGAGCTGGCTCTGAGCCTGGGCTATGGGCATGGGGGCAGAGCTGTCAGCCCCAAGGTGTCTAGGAACTCTACCCAGAGTTCACACATAGCTGGAAAAGCCACCTTGCCTGTCCCTGCCTCTGTTTTCCCAACCAAAGGGATGGAAGAGAGCTGGATAAGCAGCTGCCTCAAAACAGAAGACTGTTAATTCTGGTAACAATCTTGCAGGTCTTTGGTGGCAGAAAGGGCAAAGCCTGATGCCAGTAACCCCTGCTAGGCCAGCAGCTCTGTGACAGCAGCTGGTTCAGCTTCTGATTGGATGTCCAGGAGGAGTCAGATAGGTCATGAAGAAGACCTGGTAAGGAGCTGACCTTGCCCTGAGCATGCCCTGAGAAGGGCATAGGGAAGGGTGGCTTGAGGGAGAGCTGTGGATGGGCCCCTGCTGTGTTGGTGCCAGCCCCCGTAGCCTTACCCTGTCCTAGCAGTGCTAGAAAAAGAGCTTGGTCGCAGCCTGGGAAGGAAGTGACTCAACATGTTAGGCCTCTGTCTAGGTGATGTTATCTGGATCATGGCAGCACAACAATCTCACTGTGTTAGGTGCCGTACAAAAGTAGCACAAACTTACTTGAAACACTGAGCCGCTGTCATCACCCAACTCGGGGCCACCAGGAAGCCTCCACAGAAGCGGTTGTTCTTTCCCTGCAGATAGGCCATGTAGGGTCTGGAGTGGGCCTTGGCTTCGGCTCTTCCCTCAATCCGATTCCAGAAATAATCTGCAACGCACAGGACCGAGGCTGAGCAGAGTTGGGGGTGCAGGATGCACCAGCCAAGACCTTTCCCAGCCCTTACCCCACCTTATGGCTGGTCCTACTTACTGGTGATAGCCGGAGGATATGTCACCAGCAGCAGAGAGAGCAGGAGTTTCTGCACGTGCTTCATCGTAGCGTTCTTGGCTTCAGTGGATCCCTTGGAGGTTGGGCTGCTACTGGGGTCTCTTGCTCCCAAGAAGGTTTTATAGCCTGAAACTAGACTCCAGGAAACCACAGAGGCTGGGCTCATCTGATTAATCTATCTGTAAACTGCGTACCTCAGCAATCTGAGGGGGGAATTCAGTCAGCCTTAGCCTTGGGCATCAACCCACCTTCATCTTGGGTCTGACCTGCGGTATCTGACATCCTTCTAAACTGGGAGTCAGTTTAACCCGTTGCCTTTTAGCTGGAAGCTGTGTGGAGTATATCCATCCCAATGCTTTGCTCTCCAGTATGTCCTTCCCTTGCAGCTCATATTTGTTGTTGCGTGCTTGTGAATTCTCTTGATTTTTATCATGAGCCTTGCAAAACCATGAATTTTTTTTTTTTTCGGCTCAATGTACAAGTTCCAAAGACTGTGCAACCCTTCTGCTCTTTCTCTGTAGGTACGGTTCTGGCTCATAGACCAGTCCTTGCAGAACTCATGCAAATGTACTTGTAGCACCATGTTGGTCATGGCTTTGTGAGGGCAAGAAGTTCTTAGGGCAGCTTCACGAGTGTGGCTCTCTGCTGGACCATGGCAGCATGACTGTACTGTGGTCACCTCAGGGTTTGTGTTCTGCCCCGCGTGGCGACTTGGAACTTAGTTTTGTACAGCAGAAGACATAATTTGTAAGTGTTTCTTTCCAGCTGTAATTGTTCCTTGCAAAACAGATAAACAGGCGACTTCACGCTCCCTTTTTTACCAGCAGGTATGAGAGAGGACAGGCCACTTCCCCGGCCCTGGGGCAGTGGTCGCTTTCCCTCTGGTTTGCTGTGGGTGAATGGAGATGAGGGATGCAGGTTTGGGAATCTGCCTCCTCGCTGCTCAGAGGTAGACAGGGGCTGTGACTCCTTGAAACTGGTCATGTTCTTCTTGGGAAGGGGTCGTCGCCAAGCCCGTGGCTGCCAGGCCACCCCCACGCTGGCAGGCAGTGATTTTAAAAGCCAAACAAGTGCCAAGTGCCTTTCTGCAGCGCCCAGCAGAGCTCGGTCTCCCCTGGGCCCGCAGGAGCTGTGCATCCTGCTCTGCCAGCCCACGGCAGGAGAAAGGCTGCACGTCCCCGTGCCTTCCCGCCGGCACCAGGCCTTCCGGCGCTCCAGCCCACGTGGAGCATGGGCACGTCTGGGCCCTCGTCCCACCAGCGGGTTCAGTGGGGCTGACACTGCTGCTGGTAAATTTACCTTCCCTCCTGACCCCAGTGCCCCAGAGAAAAAACAATTTTTTGAGCTAACAACTGGCATTCTCGTGCAGACTGCAGCAGCTGGAGCTTAAAGGAAAACCCTGCCGTGACACAGATTTGTACTAGGCAGATAAGCAGTTGCAGCCTTTTCACTTGCAGATTTCCTAGCTGATAGCGGCTGTTAGCAGAAGTCCAAACCATGGACTCTGCAGTTTTCCCAGGGCATCATGGGCACTGAAGGCAAAAGTGACCTAGTTTCCCTTCTTCTCAGAAACTGAGAGGAAGAACATGAGAGCCGATGACCTGGGTCAGATCCCAGCCCTCTCCTCCCTCTCCTCCCTCCGAGGCAACTACAATCAGCCCGGGGAGGACCATGAGAACAGGGCCATCATCTTGTTCCCTTGAATCGGGCATGGTTTCTGTATTTCTAAAATTCTCCACTGGATTTCCCCTCTACAAACCAGTCCAGTCACCCCTTGAACTCGCACAAACTCCCAGCACCCTGCACCAGGGACTTCTGCAGCGTAATTCCTTACGGAGGTGCTGTCCGCGGGCGAAGCAGGGGCTGGTGCAAGGTGTTGGGGCCCGGGCGCTTCGGGAGAGGGGCTAGAGCACCCTTCGCAGGGAGGAGCAGCTCTCCTCCGGGCAGCAGCCTGCTGACGGAGGGCCGCAAGCCCTGTGTTTTGTGCTGCCGCTAGCGAGGTCCCTGCTCGTGCTGTGCCGCTCGGG